ATTTTAATTAATCTACTGATCAGTTTATTTAATTTACTGATTGTTTCCATTTTACTGGGCAAAAATAATTAAATTACTGAATTTTACTGGTATCTAAATAAACATCACTTTATAAAATATATTATTAAACACTTTTTTATTATCACTCTATATTATAAGTAATCAATTATTAATTTCGATTTTTAATATTAGTGAGTTTTTATAAAAAGTTAAGAGTAGTCCTGACAAACAAAAAGCTTTGTTGTCTGTAGTTGTCACAAACAAACAAGAAATTTTGTTGCTCGTTTCTCAGACAAATAGTTAAATATTTCTTTTAACCAACTTAGTATGACATAATAGAAGGTTAAATCATCTAAATCTGAATGTGCCTGAAAAATGGTCTGATGCGCACTCAATAACAATTGTGGAGGTAAAATAATTTTCAATTCTCTGTAACCACACTGGAAAAGATTAGCTTGGCAGCGCTCGAAATAACAGCCGATCAACGATCAATGATCTGCTATTTTTAGGGAAATTTCGAAAAATCCTGTAGAAATAGATAGTTACCATCTGAAAAATAACCTATTTTTGTGAAAAAATTACATTTGATCAGCAAGTTTTGAAAATCTATTTCGAGCGCTGGCTTGGTACAAAAAAATTATCTCTGACCACACTGGAAAAGATTAGCTTGGTTCAAAAGACAAAAACTGAGTTGTATGTTATACCATAGGTAATAGCTGCTTCATCTAGGTCTTTACTTTTCAAAACTCAAACTGACACAGGTAGCCATTTTTGCAGTCTAAAAGCCACCTTGTTGTTAATCCTATAGTTTCTTTCTAATGTCATTGTTGTCAACCCTATAATTTATAAAGATAATTTTTTTTTTTTTTGGGGGGGGGGGGATTGTAGCAATCCAACTTTTTTTAATTATTTGATGACAATTTATAAATATGTAAACTAAGTTAGTGTATTCTACAAATAGAGTTAAAATAAATTAAATTAAATTTCTAAATGCAGACATGAAAATAAGTACTTTTTAAAAAAATAATAAAAAAATATCAAACAAAAAACTAGCATAATTCTAAAAGATTCTTTCATAATTAATTTTTAATTTAATCTAACTTCCTGGTTGTGAAATAACTACAGTTAATATATAATTAACTATAACAATTTCTTATAGCTCCTATTTTAACTGTGAAATATTTTTTCTATGATTTGAATTTTTTATTTAGAGATTCTTCCTGATGAACCTACAGAAGGAGAAACAGCCTGTCGAAAAAAATTGTATTAACACGGGCCCAAATTATTTTCCAAGAATATATATATATATATATATATATATATATATATATATATATATATATATATATATATATATATATATATATATATATATATATATATATATATATATATATATATATATATATATATATATATATATATATATATATTATTTATATATTATTTATATAAAATAAATAATAACAACTTTTTATGGAACTCTAAGTTTCATGCTTTTTGGCAATCATTAGCCATTGTGTATAATTCGTAATGTAAAAACTGTTTAAAAAATACAAATTAAAATTACAGTGGAACAAGTACTGACATTACAAAAACAAATTAAAACAAAAAAAAAAAGACATCAAATAATTTAGTCCCTGGTGTCTAATAGAGAAAGTAAAAATTTATTGAAATGCTGGCACTTTGATATTATTTATATATAAATAATATCAAAATATATTATTAATGATATATCTTTTATTAAGTAAATTTACTCCTCTGTATGACAATATATGAAACGTCTTGCAAAGACAATGATTACAAATTTTTGATGCTTGATTGTAGGGCCTACATAGCATTATTATCTTTCATGTAATCACAGGTTTTATATTTTTTGATTTCAATTCCCATATTTTTTAAAAAGTTCAGTGGTATTCTTATATTTGGGTGCATTGAAAGATTTAAAATGGTTGGCATATCTTAATTTAAATGCGGTTTTAATTACACTGAAATAAACTTTATCTTAAAATTCAGGATCTCTAGAACTTACAATGGTATACGATATTGCTAGAACTTACAGTGGTATATGATATTGCTAGAACTTACAGTGGTATATGATATTGCTAGAAAGACATTATTTATTTAATGGAAATTTTTTTTTAACATCAAGCAAGCAACTATAGCTAATTTTAATATTTTGATTTAAAACTTTATCTAGCCAGTGTCTAAACTTTATCTAGCCAGTTGATTAAAGCTAAAAAGTGATTTTTAATTTTAGTTTCAATATATTTGCTAAACGAAGGAGGGGGGGGGGGGGGGGTTGTACCATATAATTTTACATTTGCTATATTTTTTTGAATGTTTTTTTTTTGGAGTTGGTAGGTGAGTTTCAAATTGCATTCTGATTTATGTAAAGCCTCTTCATACAGAGGAAGGAAATTAGTAAACACAGTTTAATTCACTGCCATAGCTGATAATCTTAACTCAATAGTGCGAGGGTTCCTCTGTACAGCTGTCAATTGTTAAAAAGTGTGGTTGCAGTTAGTTCAAAATTTAGTTTAATTATTCATTTAAGGAACAAATTTATGCAAGTTTTTTGAGTTCAGGACTATCAAATTGTAAGTATTGGTTAATAACTTAATTAGTTATGGTTAATAATTCATTATTTTTGCTAATTTTAATGCATAAATCCTGATTTCTAACCATTCTCATCTTTCTTAAAATAAAAAAATAACTACAAAACACGTATTTATTAATTTAAGTAGTTTAAACTTAAAAATTATTAAAAAAGTAAAGTGTTATTAATAATTTGGTCACTCACTGTAGGTGGATGATTTGAATCAGAATGAACATAAGTTAATTATTAGGTATAAAATATGGTTGATAGGAACTGTTAATCAGGTTTAATGTTACATCAAGATAATTGACAATTGTACATTGAACATAATTACATTGAAGTAGGTTGTTACTTTTAAAAATATGTGTAGAATGCTTTCTTTTCATTGGTTGGTCGCTCTTGGTTTCAAAAATAGCAAGCTTGTAGTCACAATACAGGTCAAAAGTATTTTTATTTTGCTGAGAGAGCTAAACCATGTAAAAATACCAACTAGTTTGCAAACTTCAGCTTCATCAAATGGTCTCATTGTTACATAAAACAGTAAGCCTCTTTTTTTATTTAGGCTTCATTGTTTATAAAATTTAAAGATTTTCTTGCATGATATATTAAGTTTTTATCACCACCATTTATAATAACATGTTGTTCGGCGAAATTGACTGAATTGGTAAGAGCGTTTGGACTAACAGATAGGTAAAAACCATTTATAAGAAAAATTAAAAATTTGCAAAGGTGATTATTTTTAAAATTTTTCTAAGCCAATCTATAATGAATTGGGTGCTTTGCTATTGATTCAAATGTAGTGTATTTCTTAATTCATGAATAATAGAAGTGTTTGCTTTTATTAGCAATTTGTTGAATTCATCAAGAATTTAAAGTCTTTTTTCTATAAAAATTTTATTAATTTAACTAAGTTTATTAGATCATTTTCAAAAGAATGCCTTTAATTTATTTTTGGTGGGCATTTTGAAGATTTGATTTTGTAATCTTTATAATTTGAATAATTTGAATCATTTCTAGGGTAGATATTTATGAAAAAGAATACCTTCCACCTCATTTTCTTTATGAGCAACTTTTTTTTGTTTAGTAACTTTAATTCATATTTTTTTAAGATGGAATCCGTATCTTTTTGATTAAATATTTCAAGTGTATTTTTTCTATTTTACGAACGTCTTGAGTAGAGTGTTCAAATTGTTATAGCAAATTTATACAAAAAAAGATAATGTATTATTACAGTATAATAATAATAACACAAATACTCTTGTGTGTTTAAGAGTGCTCAATACTATTAAGTAATAGAGTAATATTTACTTATATTACATTCCATCAAGCCTCCGTCAACAAGATCTTTTATCAACAAATCAACAATCTTTTACAAACTTCTGCATTCTTTTTATAAAACAGTTTAAACTTTTTTTTTAATCACTATTATATTTTTTATATTTTCTTTAATTAGTCTAATGTAATACAATTTATTTGTTAAAATATATAACTAAAAAGAAATATGATTCTCTATAAATTTTTTTATAGTAAAATAATTCTTCTCTAAGTCTATAAATCTCTGAAAATCTATAATCTGCTCTTGAATGAAATACTGCTTTTATATTTGGGCTGGTTCTTTTAATGATGTAACTTCTTTTTAAAAAAGGTCTAAACATTGTAAATGTAGTTGGGTTTTAGTTGCAAAGCTTTTAGACTTTTAACAATATGGAGCTAAGGACAAAATATTGTGATACCCTAGACACTAAATTAGAATATAGAAATTCAAACATTTTTTGAAAAAACTCTTAAGAGATCTTATTGAGAAAACCATGTTTTTTTCCACATTATCTCTTATTGAAATTTTTAAAAAAGCTTTGATACGCATGTGATGGTCCTTGCCTTAGTTTTTAACATAGAGTAGAGTTGTTCAATAATTATGGTTAACAAATCAGTGGTAAAACAAGAAATTCATAATCTGTATTTATTGTCAGAGAGTAAACTGTTAGATTCAAGAAATATTAGAAGTTTGTTAACTAAAGATTCAAAAACCTTGCTAACAATAGTACAAAGACTTGATTGGATGGAGGTCAAAGCAATGTTCAGAATTTTCAGAAATTAAAGCCATAAAATAGAGAAAATTTTTTCTAAGTTTAATTTCCACTTTATTATTCTTATTACTTCTTTTAGAACATAATGCATTTTTGTAGAATACACTAACATTTAACATTTTGTTAAGCCGCATAAAATATTACCCGATCACATATGCCAGAATGATAAGTTGAATGAACCGGTATAAAGCACCAACTTTTTTATTTTTTATATCGACAATTTTTACAGTTTCATAGTGAAAAAGGATCTTTGAAAAATTCTTGCAACAGTCGTTGGCCATCTTGAATGTTGTTCAATATTTGTTAAATGAATTAGCTTTTCCACGAATTTTGAGACGGTTTCTACTTGCCGACTTTTTTACTTTAATCAGTTATCATTTCTTCATCCAAAATTTATAAAAACAAAATACTCAATTGCAAATTCGGTTACTACGGGGTGAGGATAACTCAAACATCCAGTAATTTAAAGTACTTTTTAAATCTCATTAAACCCTCGTTAATACTTTCTCATAAAAAACCATCAAAAATTCAAACGATAAATTCCGGTAAATCGAAAAACGATAAACCCCGGTGAATCGAACATTGTCTAAATCCATGATCGTATTTTTAACCAGATTGCGAACTAAGTTCGAAAAATAGGTTAATAAACTACTTGAAATAAAATATCAGGGTAAGTAAAAAAAAGCTGATTTAATAATCTACTCTTCAAATATTAATGGAATCTGTGTGTAGGGCACCATAATTATAGTTTTTAAAAATAATTTTTAAACAAAATATTAAACTGTTTGATATAAAATATCAAACAGTTTAATATAACACATATAAATCATGGCCTACTTTATTTATACGGCCGGATATTTTACATTTTGAAGAAAAAAATAGAAGGCCAGTTTTTAAAATCGTAATGTTTCAAAAATTTAATACGTTTTGAACATTTTCAATATTATTTTACTTTCTACATTTAAAAAGTCCACAAAAGTTGTATTTATTCATAATTTTAGATATTAAACGAACATTTATTAAGAAATAAATAGTGTTTATTTTAAAATTTAGTATTAGTAAAAACGATGTGAGAAACAAGAATAGTTATAAAAAATATTTAAATGTTTCTCTTTTTTCATTTAAAAATAAAATAATTATATATAATTTATTAAATTTTCTCAAATTTTTTCTTTTTAAAAGATTTTACATGATCAACAGCTACTTCACTGGTAGAGATAATTCTTTTATTATTATGAAAAATGTTAACAACAATTCTTCCAACAAGTTTTATCCCAGTTTTCCCATGCATGGGACAAGAAAAAGTCTGAAAAGAGTCATAAAAGTGGTTTAACAAATATTCTAAAGCTTGTTGTTTATAAAAGTAGTCAATCATAGCAAAGGATGTGCAAACATAATCCAAAAGTGATTGTGAAGGAATAGTGAGACCACCCCTAGAAATAATTGTTAAATAAGTATGATCAGGATTGCTTTCATCAATATTGACACAACATAAAAATTCTTTACAACATGTACCAAAACGTTTTTTAAGTTTCTTTGCTATATAACCAGCAATATGAGCACCTATGTCATGATTTCTGGAGTACACTGAGGTTCATCAATATCAAGAAGAAAGTTTTTCCAATCTGTTAAATTATTTTCTGACTCAGGCACTTTTAAACTATCATCAAAGTTAATACTTTCTTAACTTTAACTATACTTTTTATATATATTTATAGGAAACATAACTTTATACTAACATAACTTTCTTAACTTTAACTATACTTTAACTATACTTTTGATTTTTAATATTTTTTCAGAAATAGTGACATCTTTTAAACCTACCAAAAATCTTCCACCGCTCATTTGTCTATATTGTCCAAATCTCCTTTCTAATGGGTCACTTTGAAATCTCGCAGTTAAAACAAAGTGATATCCATCATTAATCAAGTCCTCGATCAATGAGGCATGACTATTAAGTGTTCTTATTAGTGCTGCAGCTGTCTGAACACTTAAAGTAAACTTCTCACAGTTTGGTATCTTTTGAGATTGCCAAACTTCAATCCAATGTGCCATTTCCCGAAGAAATTCAGGTTTTTTTATCACCAGAAACGACTGCATTACCTAAAATATTACATGCTGAATACTGACATTTAGAATTTGATAAAACCCACCACTTGTTAAATAATGTAAGAAAATCTGCACTACTTTTAAGATCTGGAAAATATGAGTGAATCGCTGCTGATGTAGTTTCATCAAAAATTGCAAGTGCTAAAGAAACATTTTGTTTAAAATTGCCAGGATGTAACACTTTCATTGTTATTTTTGGTGCTTTACGCAAACCAGCATCAAGAGTGAGGTCTTTTTCATAAATATTGTGGAAGGTACTCCATTTAATTTCTCCCCCACGTACAATTATAGGATCTTTAAATCCATTAAAGTTAAAATCTGGAAATAAAAATCTTTTGCAATTTAACAAATTATTTCTGATGTTTTTAATAAGATGTACAACATCAAAACAGAGGTAAATTTTTTTTAGATTGTAAATAAAAAACAAATCTTCAGCTTGTTGATTCGATGCACAAAGGATTTTTTTAAAACAAGAAACATTAGCAGAATGGTTGTCACACACAATAACTCTAACATTAAATTCACATTCAGTTAAAATACGAAGACATTCAAAAATTTCTTCTTTCAACCATTCAGCATTGATTGTTTTTTCAGGAGACGTTTTGATCTCATATGGAATGTTTTGTTTCAGGCCAACTATCATAAAACAAACTATTCCCTTATACATTTCTCCAGACTCATCACTACCAATCATCTCTTCAGCAAAATACTCCTCACATTTTTGCAAGTACATTTCATCAAAAATCAAGCAAATGTCTTGAGATATTTTACCTTCTAATTTTAAACGTTTTGCACAACTTAGAGCATCAATATTTCCACTAGTTATTTTTTTAAGTAATGATAATGATGGTAAAGGCAATTCTTCACGCAAAAGTTGGTATGACTGCATAGAAGTATATCGTAATATCAGTGAATACCTTATAATATTGGCTGAATAAATAGGTTTTTTCATATATTTAATTTGCTGTAATTCAGTCAATACAGATGAAAATTGTTCGGCTTGTGATTTAATGTAGGTAGGAAAATTATGAAGCATACTTTTACAAGATAAACGACAATCTCTTCCTTGACAAAACCACTGAGGTAATGGCAGAGGTGAACCTCTGTAAAATAATTTAACATGCATCTCATTGTTTACACGAATCCACTCTGTAACTTCTGGAATAGATAAAGTACTATGACTCAATTTATAAAAAATTACATGATCATCATACTTCAAGAATGAAAAACCATCTGGAGCAAAACTTTCAGTAATATCGTTAAAGCTATTAATCAAATCATTCAATAAAAACTGTTCATATTGATTTGGCTGAAATATTCTTTTAGTTGGTGATTTTCTTAATGAATTAGAAGTTGTAATGAACCTTCTTCAGTCAAATTTGTGCAGTCAAAAATAGTTGGAATAGGCTTTAAATTTTTTATTAATCTAAAACGTTGATTCTTATTACCTTTCTTATAATATTTTTTTTCAAAATGTTTGATGCATATAACGGAAGAATTAGTAGGTGTCCAATCTTTTCTATTTACAAATTTAATCCAATATTTTTTTAACTCTTCATTTTTTGGAAACGAAAAGACTACTGTAGATACTTCACCATAATTATGATAATTTGAACGACAATTTACGACGCAACATTTGTTAACCATCTTTTTGAACTTCCAAAGCTGCTTTCTTAAAAACACTTTTCCAGAAAACTGGCCTTCTATTTTTTTCTTCAAAATGTAAAATATCCGGTGTAGTATGAGATTTTTACTCCCATTATTTTTTTTCTCCCCTAAAAAAATTTTATATGAAATTTGTGCCGCGGAGTAAAAAATGCGTATGAAATTTTTACTCCCTTTATGAGATTTTTACTCTCATTAGATATTTTTACCGTTATGTTAATATAGTGCTTAATTAATATATTTTATAAAAGTTAAGCTTTTAATAAACTTTTTTAACTTAATTTATTTTCTACATTTTAGTGGGAGTAAAATTTCTTATATTATTTTAAATAAACGGTAAAAATATAAATTTTACAGATAATCTTTTTTAAACTTAAAGATCATAGAATATGCAAGTACTTGTTTGATCAAAATGTGTACTTGTTTTATTAAAAAATGAAGGGGAATATCCAAAATTGTTTTATTTTACTATTAGGCTATGGTACTTGTTGCAAACTTGTTAGAAAAGGAGTTTTCTAAACAACAAGTTTACCTTGCTAACCTGCAGAATCTGAAAATCGCAGCTTTTTATTTCTTTCTGACTTTTTTTATTTAACAATTCACATCTGCAAAAATAAAAAAAAGTTTATCGTAGGTTACCCTATGTATCAGATAGGGTTAGATTTTTTTTTTAATTAAACACATATTGTTATATAGGTTTATTTCTGGATTTTTTGCTTTCGCTTTACTAATGTGGAATCAGTCAGGCATATGAAAAAGTATTGCCACCAAATTAAAAAAGACAAACATTTTTATTCCTTCTCCTACATACCGTTGTAAATTCGCTTATTTTTACGTTTTTAAAACATTTGTTTACAGACTTAAAATAAAAATATATTTAAAAAATGTCTAAAAATTATGAAAAGAAGATAATTTATGAATTATTATTTTTTTTTTGATAATATTTTACAACAGTACAACATTAAAGTGACTTGCAGTTGAATTGTCAAGGAATATAGCATGTTCACTAAGCTGTGTAAGTGTTAAACTACATGGGTAAGTCAGCCATTTCAACTTCTCTCCATATTTGCTATATTCTTTTATATCAATACCCATGAACGAGGCACACCCAATTATTTCTGCATCAGTTGCCCAAGTTGCGTTATCACTCATACCACTTTCATTTAGATACGTTATTATTGATTGATTCATATATAAAGTCATTTCATTATTAATATGAGTACACATATGTTTAACAACTTTTTCTCTTATAATTTCTTAACTGCATTCACTGCCTGTAATGATATACGATATTGCCCTAAAAAAGCAATTACCATCGCCTATGGTTTTGTGAATTTGTTTCGGACGTGAAAGTAGATTAATATCTGCAATAAAAATATTTTTGGTAATACCAATTCCAAATTTTTCAGAAATAGAATTTCTCATTTCAATAGTTGCATATTTTCCGATCTTATCATTAGAAATTTGCATATTAATTTCATCAAATGTGATTTCTTGTTCATCATTAGTTATTTTTTCATTATATAAACATAACTTTGTC